CCCCCCCCCCCGGCTGGATTGCTTCGCCTACTTGTCCGGCTGTCACCTGACTGCTTCCACTCTCCGACCAACCAGACGAGGGCGAGATGATGATTGTCCTGAAGGCGTACTTCGCTTCGCTCGGGGCCGAGCTCACTCAGTCCGACCGGGATGCCCTGTCGCCGGAGTTTGTTGCTCTCAATCCGAACCTCAACACGGAGTTTGACCTCCTGCTGATGATTGGCTTGATTGAGTTTGCCAACATCGGCAACCCCCTGATCGACCAGCTGCGTCTGCAGTACCGGCGTGAGGTGGCCCACAACCTGGAGGTTCTCCAGCGGCGGATGAAGATTCGCCACTTGATGGAGATGTGTCCCCTGCTGTCGGAGCCTTCGTTGACTGGCATCTACCGGCACTTCCATGCGGTGGTGTTCTATTCGGCCGAGGCCAAGGCGGGCGGCAAGACGCAAGCTAGTACTGGCACTTCCGGAGCCACTAAGCCCTGCCAGCAGCCGAACCTGACGCGCGCGGATGGCGTGACCCTCGTTGGCAATGCCGCCACCGAGGAGCTGGATCATCGCATTGATTTGCTGGACTTCTATAACTTCCTGTGTCGGATTTCGCCGTACGTTTACGTCCACCTGGGAGGCTGGGGGAGGTCCTCATTTATGTCTTCTTTTTTTTTTGTTGTCCCTGTTGCCATCCTTGGCTTTTCTTCGCTTCCCCCTCCTCTCTCGGAGGCATAGCACGTCGCCCTATTTGGCCTGGCCCCTCCTCCCTCTGTCCTGCTGTCTCCCGTATTTCTGACACACACACACACACACACACACACACACACACACACACACACGCGCGCGCGCTCTCCGTTCTCCGCTTTCTTGCGCCCTGGACATGATTGCAGCTGGGCTCGCCTTGACTCCAAGGCACCGGCCCACCTGACTGATGAGCACGCTTTCCATATCAGCGCCCAGCGTGAGGCCGGCTCGCACTTCATCACTCGGCTTTTCCGCTACTGCGAGTACATGGGTCGCAAGGTTCTGAATAAGTCCCGGCCCAAGTCGGCAACCTCCTACATGTTGGAGGCCTCGGCCGGCGGGCAGGCCTCCATCCCCGGCATTGGGCCGATGGCTGTGCGCGAGTCGCTTGGCATCCTGGACATCGCGTCTGGCCTGGCCCCACTGATCACCGGCGATGTCCAGTCTCGAGTGTATGCCTTCTTCGACATGTTCCTGCCATATCCGGAGGATCCACGTGCGGCGGAGCTCGGCTGCTCGATCGAGTCCGCCCAGCCGTACCTGCTGCTGACGGATGTCAGTGACATCGCCGAGTCTTTCTTCTTCTTGTGTCGGACTTTCGGTGACGAGGCCAATGTTTCCGGGAGTCGGTTCTCCGATGCCGTACGCAAGCTGATCGCCCTGTCCAACGAGTCCAACACCCTGCCGGAGGATGCGCATCAGCATGACATCGAGCGGCACCTAGAGTCCGGGGCTGCTGGCGTCGCGCCACGCTTGGATCGCAAGATCTTCTTCGCGGCGGTCACCCAAGTGCCCTTCCTGGAGGAATTCTTCACGGACCTCCTGCCAACGCGCATTTTCCAGCTGGATGGTCTGAAGGATCCGACCCCGCGTCAACGCCGTCAAGCCTCCATTTCTGGCTCCTCTTCTTCCGGGTCCTCGTCGGCCGGTTCGTCGGCTCCCTCCTCGTCGGCCAGCTCGCCCTCTTCATCGTCCCTGTCGCTGCCAGCCAGCGGGGACCGGACTGGCCGGCAGCCGCAGGCCACCGCAGCCGCGGTGCCGGGCCCGAATTCCGCCTCCGCTGCCGGTGGCCAGGGGACTGGCCGGTCTCTCCTGTCGTCCAGCGCAGCGGGTGCTTCGTCCGTGCTGGCCTCGACCGGTCGTGGGGTGGCTTCGATCACCTCGCGCGTCTTCTCCTTCGGCCGTCGGCCGGCTTCGACTTCGGTGCGTCACATGCCAGCCTTCTCCTCCTTCTCCTTCCCTCGGGAATGCGAAGGGGGAGGGAGTCGGGGGGCGGGGGGGGGGGGGGGGGGGGGG